ACAGAGAAGATGAAACCATGTTAGCTTGTCTTTCACAATGGTGTTTCTTGTTTTCACTTTTATATGATAAATTGATCTAGGTACATTGAAGCCAAGGCTGATCGTGTAACCGTCATCTTCAGCACGATATTCAAGGATCCAGATGACGTGATCATTGGAAAGGTCTTTTTACAGGTAATCTTACCGTTGCTTTGTATTGGTAAAAATTTCGCTCACCTCTCTTAGTAGCTGATAGCCATTTTTAGGCTTCCGAAATGTTTTGTAGTTGAGTGAATAGGATTGAATAGGATTTCTTTCCCATTCTCGGGAGTTTCCGTACGTCTTTGGTGTCCTTGTGACTGTGCCATGTCCCTCAACCCAGTCAACCCATTCAATCGCGTTTTGAGTGGCCGCTCAGAACTTGTCCCTTTACACTTCCCTGGGATTTTCTTGGTCGCTTGAGTGGATTGGCGCGACGTATCTATCCCCATATCCTTGGATATTGGCGTCTTTCTAAAATCTGAAGTATGTAGCCCAAGTCTTAGTCCAAATCCAACCCAGACTCGATTGCTAGCCAAGTAATCCATCCTAGACGGTCGTCAAGGTGGTTTGTTCTCGAAAACTGTATTCGAATTCCGCCTGCCTATAAAATTCCACCTCTGGGTTGAATACTCAGCCAAATGCCACCACACTGGCAACATTAAACGCATGGCGCAGCCCAATCAGGTCACTGTAACGAGTTATCGTTTCTCTTTTGCATGACTTGCGACCAACGAAACAATCTTTTAAGGAGTTCCGTGAAGGCCGAAAAGCTAGTCAAACCGCTCCAGCAGTACTTTATTCTCTAGGCGAACCGCCTCTAGAGTTGAGAGATCTACCAGGAGCACGTGTTGGAGAGAACGTTGGATATATCACATTTGGTGGGTGCAGCAGTTTTATTCTGAGTTTCCATTATTACAGTGTTTATTTCTTTTTTTAGTTCTGTTTCCTCGACACACCAACAAGAAAGCTCGTGACAATACCATCGATCTGATTCATACGTTCCGCGATTATCTACATTACCATATCAAATGTTCAAAGGTATACTCGACGTTTTAGTCCAACTTTGTAGCAATCATATACGCAGGCTTGTCGAAATGACGAAGGTTGGCCTGAGGAAGGGGTCAAAGGAACGGTTGTGTTGTTCGCTGCGGACGCTAGGGCGTTTCAGGGCGGCTGAGTCTGTTGTGGCAGCCCATTCTTCACCGATTTTGATTGCTTGTTAGCTTTCACACTTGTTGGAGAACATGCTGGCGACAGCCACTTCCTCTCCAGCGTCCGTAGCGAACAAGACTGTAACTGTCTTCTTGCAGTCTTTCCAAAACATATTTGCTTTTCTCTTCTTCTAATCAAGTTGATTTCCAACCAAGATGTCCTGAATTTTCTACTTGTTTTCCACCTTCAAATTTTTTGAGTTTACAATCCATTTTACCACTGTCACTTCCCATTTTCTATAGAGTAGATTCATGCTTAGCGTCAGCTTTTGAGCGTACGTCAGCGTTTTTGTTTTGAGCTTTTTCCAGGCAGTCTCTGAAAGCGCTGCCGTGCGCTCAAACCGCTGGATCGATACCTATATTTTCCTAGTCGCGCTTAAAACGCTGACGCTAGTATGAACACAGCCCTGAAGGGTTAATCTTCGTTTTTTTTGTTTTGTAGACAGACGTGGCATGATAGGGAACGAGTACTGTCATGAAATTTCTGCAAGTTTTTCAACTTTCAAACAATACTTTCGGACAGATGACATCTTGTTCTGAAAACTGTGTTTCAAATTAAATACTCGAAGTTGGGATGATTTCAGGTATACATGCATTCAAGGATGCGATCAAAGACGAATGATTTCCTCAAGGTACTCAATCGTGCCCGTCCAGAGGTTAAACTAGAAAAGAAGACCTTCAGGTGAGTATGGAGACGGTATTATCCGACGCGATCCATAATTGCTGTGTTTGGACAAACATTTGGCGTAGACGCATAGTGACTCAACGTTGATCTGCATGTTTGCCAGTATCGAACGAATAGCACCACCTCATTCACGACGAGGGAAGTGGGGCTGGGGAAGTTGAACACCCACATACTGACAGTAATGTAATTCCCTACTGCAGCCGCAAAACCATATTGTTATGCAAATCTCCACGGTTTTGTTCGTTACGGACCAAGGGACGTGCTAGGCGGGAGGACTTTCACATGGCGCTGAAACATTCTCCACCAGTTACTGAAGCGTGTAAGCGACAGCAAGTTGGTGGAAAAGGACTGACGCCGCGCTGAATCCGTCCTTCTCGGCCACGCCCCTTCATCCGCAACAGACAAGACAGTAGCAGTTCTTCGCATTCGCTCCCACTCTACTTACTTCTTTAGTTTAATTAATGTAATTAATGACTTTAATGTATATCACCTTTTCAGTGGTCGCTCATATATACCAAGTTAGATGCGCCCATCACACGGATATGAACTGCTTTAGAATGTCACATTCACTTACAACTCGGCACCAGATCGTATGCCAAGGTGAACTGTAATCTCTACGCTGCTAATAAATGTATTTTACTTAGAAAGACACATAATATGTACAGAGTACAGCAACAAGGAATAGTACATGTGATGCGCTCATTGTTAAATAAGACGGCAAAGCAGATCAAACAAGAATGTGTGGGATAACCGTTCACAACACAAGATCAATAAGTGAACCCAAAAAGCGGCAGCATTGCGTATACAAAGCGAATACTAAATGGTTAACCCCCCTCCCCCAGGTCATCAGCTCAATCACGGCTGTTGATTGCGATAACCTCGCGTTTTCTTCAGCGTTTTTTTTTTT